CTAGCTCTCGTGTCGACTTCAATGATCGGTTCGATGGAATGAGTAGTGACGAAGAGGGTGAAGGATCATCATCACAACATAGCCGTGACCATATCGCACAAACATCGATCCTACAGCCAGGGGGCAAGGGAAAGGACAAAGGGCACAGAAGGAAAAAACTTTCGGAGCATAAGTTGCTGCGATCGCTACCTGCATTGCCGAAACTTCGTTCCCGGCATAAATCCCAGCCGTCTCGACTATCTGCTCCGGTTGAGACTGCTGATGAATCTGACGTGGAAGACAACGGCACTTTATCGCCTGCGCCAGCTCTTACGCTGACACGCCAAGATACCCAGGGTGTCATGAGTAGGATGTTGGAGGCCAAGGCGGACTTGTCTAGCAGACCCAGCTTCGATCTGGACCGGTTATCATCTGATGTTAGTCGATCAAGTGATGGCGAGGTTGTCTCAGCTCTGGCAAGGAAGCTTAAAGAGATTTTCGAGTTTGATACATACGAGCAGGTCATTGAGGGTTTGTCAAAGTCGGATCTTCATCTTTTGAGTATGCTAACTGGTCATAGAATACCCCTGCTGGCTGCTACAAAGTGTCCTTCTTCAAGGATACATGTACATCACTTCTAAGCATATCTGCTTTTACGCATACCTCCCCAAAAAGGCGGTAAGTAATAGAGTCTGACTGCCAGATGGTCACTAACACCAAACAAGAATGAGGCCGTTAAGTCAGGCTATTTATCGAAGAGCGGCAAACGCAACCCAAGCTACACAAGGTTTTGGTTCCGACTGAAGGACGATGTTCTGGCATACTACAAGACTGCAACAGACGTTTACTTCCCCCATGGACAGATTGATCTGCGATACGGCATCTCAGCAAACATCGTGGACAAGGATAAGGAAGGTCTACATTTCACAGTTGAGACACATCATCGAACGTACAAGTTCAGGGCCGACAGCGCTCCAAGTGCGAAAGAATGGGTCAAGAGCCTGCAGAGAGTCATCTTCCGAAGTCACAACGAGGGCGACAGCGTCAAGATCTCATTACCGATTAAAAATGTGATCGATATTGAAGATACTCAGATGCTTGAATTCGCCGATACTTGCAAGTTTAGAGTCATTGACAATGACGAGACATACGCTATTGACGAGGTAAGTGCGCAAAAGTCTTGGAAACATCTCCACTAACAACAGTCACAGTACTTCTTCGCCTTCTTCAGCTTTGGGAAGGACGCCATCAATGTGCTCAAGATCCTCATTGAGGCTTCTGCAGAAAGCCGGTCAGCGGAGAAAGCTGTGTCTAGCCGTGAAGAAAACGAGAGCTCTCAATCTCCATCCGGCCGGACATCAATGGCAGCAAGCCGTCATCTTCCCCACATTGACAGACTGCACACAGGAAAGCTTCCCGACACCGTAAAGGCCACACTGGCTCCCATGTCGCCATTATCGCCTCATTCACCAAGCCAACTGAGCCCTCGAGCAAGTATGGACGCTCCACGAACGAGTTTCGACGGCTTCAGAAGATTCGGACGCAAAAGTATGGATGTGCCAGGTTCCATCGGAGACTTCAGCCCTCGCAGGAGCTTCAGCGGCACCAGACGATCAACGAGTCGACATCAACACGGCAACACGACACCCAAACAGCAACAGGCTCAGGACTCGGGAGATTCGTTCGTTCATTCTTCGATCGACAACCCAAGTATCTCCACACTATCACCGTCTTCCTTTGATGATCCATCCGCGAGCCAGATTCTCCAAGGAAGCGAGGTCTTTCACAGCCCGACGATACGACGCTCTGCTTCGGCATCCAGAAAGCGCGACCAGTCTGGGGAGAAAACATCTCGGAACTCTAGCTCGAACCGAGAGCGCCCTCGCCATATTCATCATGCCGCAACGACAGGCGCCATGCAGGAAATGGGTGGCGAAGCTAGTGAATCTCAGCGCCCAGTCACACCAACGCTCACCAGTATCACTAAGATTGGAGCATATCCCTTACAACGAGCTAATGCCTTTGCGGAGTATCTCAGCCGTACGAGTCAGCGTATGGGTTCCATGTTTGCGACCGAGTCACTGGGTTATGTAGAAAAGGTCCATGGCATGTGGAAAGGAGAACATAGGCATTATGATGAGCCTCAAGAGCTCAAGACTGATGATGATGCCGATGATATCGACTCGGACGCAGAAGACAAGACGCAGACTGCCATGGATCGTTTCCGAGCGCATTTCACCTTGCCCGAGTCTGAGAAGCTTATTGCAACTTACTTTGGGGCCATCTTCAAGGTCTTGCCTCTTTATGGAAAGTTCTATATCAGCGATCGATCATTCTGCTTCAGAAGCTTGTACCCCGGCACAAGAACAAAACTCATCCTACCTTTGAAGGATATCGAGAATGTCCACAAGGAAAAGGGTTTCCGGTTCGGTTACTACGGCCTTACGGTCGTCATTCGTGGTCACGAGGAGCTATTCTTTGAGTTTAGGCGCCCAGGGCTCCGAGATGATTGCGCGGTGACGCTGCATCAACTCATGGAGACTAACCGTTTTCTTGAGAAGTCTGGTTTCCTTGACCAAGAGGAACAAGATGATGAAGATGCTGCTGCTGCAATTGCTGAGCGCGACGCCCTGAAGGCTGCACGCCAGGACGAGTTTGTCAACCACGAGCTGGAGCTACCACGCGAGACCTCTGGAGTTTCAAACGCTCCGACAATATTGTTTGATAACCCCAATTCGTCCGGTCTTGCGTTCAAGCCGCAAAAGTCGATGAAGATCACCTGTCTCACCATCGGATCTCGAGGTGATGTGCAACCATACATTGCCTTGTGCAAGGGTCTTCTTGCTGAAGGCCACAAGCCTCGGATTGCCACACACGCGGAGTTCCAAGGATGGATTGAGTCACACGGTATCGAGTTCGCCCGAGTTGAAGGCGACCCTGGTGAGCTGATGCGTCTTTGTATCGAGAATGGTACATTCACTTGGGCTTTCCTGCGGGAGGCAAACTCGACCTTCCGAGGATGGCTTGACGAACTTCTTGACTCTGCCTACACAGCATGTGAGGGTTCTGAACTTCTCATTGAGTCTCCTTCTGCCATGGCTGGCATTCACATCGCGGAGAAGCTTGGTATTCCCTATTTCCGAGCGTTCACTATGCCTTGGACTAGGACACGAGCATATCCTCACGCTTTTATCATGCCTGAGCACAAGATGGGAGGTGCATATAACTATATGACATATGTCATGTTTGACAACATCTTTTGGAAGGCTACAGCTTACCAGGTGAATCGATGGAGACGAAAGACGCTTGGCCTACCTAGCACCAACCTCGAGAAGATGCAGCCTAATAAGGTGCCCTTCCTGTACAACTTCAGTCCCAGCGTGGTCGCACCTCCTCTTGACTTTTCCGATTGGATTAGAGTAACTGGCTACTGGTTCCTTAATGAGGGAGGTGACTGGGAGCCACCTCAGGAGCTACAGGACTTCATCGCCAAAGCCAGAGCTGATGGAAAGAAGTTGGTCTACGTCGGTTTTGGTTCAATCATCGTCAAGGACCCTGCCAAGATGACACAAGAGGTCATCGATGCTGTTCTCAAGGCAGATGTTCGGTGCATTCTGTCGAAGGGCTGGTCAGACCGTATCTCACCGAAAGACGACCCGTCCAAGCCTCGCCCCGAAGAGCCAGAGATGCCTCCAGAGATCCATGTGATTAAGTCCGCCCCACACGATTGGCTCTTCACTCAGATTGACGCTGCTGCCCATCACGGTGGTTCTGGAACCACGGGCGCCAGTCTTCGTGCCGGTATTCCCACCATCATTCGTCCATTCTTTGGCGACCAGTTCTTCTTTGCTACTCGGGTTGAGGATCTTGGGGTTGGAGTTTGGGTGAAGAAATGGGGTACCAACAGCTTCGGTCGAGCCCTCTGGGAAGTGACGCGTAATGAGCGCATGATTGTAAAGGCTCGTGTCCTTGGCGAACAGATCCGTAGTGTAAGTCCCCCTCGACTCTCAGTTCCACAAACCACTAACATCCACAGGAATCGGGGGTCGATAGCGCCATCCAGTGCATCTACCGCGATCTCGAATACGCCAAGAGTCTCATCAAGCGCAACGCCGGTAACGCCGCACAGCACGATGCAAATGAGGACGACGATACAGAAGAGAGCTGGACATTCGTCGGAAGAGACGAGCCAGATCCCGACGCTGTGACGAAGAAGCTTAGTGAGGGTTTGGTAGACACTAAGAAGCCGCTGTCTTTAGGAAGTCAGGCGCCTTCGACTGCTGCGGCATGATGAACTTGCTGCTACGAACTGTTATGTGTGGGGTTTTCTTTGGTGACTTCCTCTGGTTGTGCACTTGTTCTTCTGCATTTGGGTGATGGCTTAATTATGGGCTTTTGGATGATTTGGAGTCTGGATGGATTACTTGCGGATAGACGTATGATCTAGAAGCCATAGACTACGTATGAAGATAACACTACTTCTTCTTGGAAATTGAGAATCGAGGTCTGGTGCTCTGGCTTGGATGATGAGTGAGGCCGGCAAATTGACATATACATGTAGCTTGTCGCCACACAGCTAAACACTGTGCTCGCAGGCCCCAACCGCCAACATGGAGCTTTCGCTAGAGTCTATTCCACGGTTGATCAACTATTTTCTCAAGCGCTCGTACTAAATTTTAAAGGGTCAAAGTATAGTATACCTTGTGTCCCGTTTCGCCTTCAACGCAGAGAGTCAAGAGTTCGGATAGCGATCTCGAAAACCCTCTGCGAACTCTTCGACCTTTTCATTGGCAAGTTTTAAGCATAGTTCAACATGAGTATCAGACTTTTTTCTGGTAGGTAGTTGCCAAAGCTTCTTTTGACAGTCACAAAGCTTCTTATATTGTGCGCAATATATTCTCCCAATATCCTTCACTTCTCCTTCCTGGTTACTCTAACCTCCTTCACTTCTCCTTCTCGGCTCTCTAACCTCCATCAATCACATCAATCAAGTTCAAAATCTTTCGCACACGCACAACAAAATGACTGGCTGGTACTCACTGCCTCAAGAGATTCGCAGCATGATCTTGGGATGCGTCCTTGTTCAAGACCATATCGCGCCCTATGCTCCCGTCTCAATAGAATGGCGCGATGCCATTGAGAAAAAGATCTTTCGGCACCTTTGTATCGAAACTTCCCTTTCGGACGCTCATGGCAGCCCTCCAACGGTATTTGCCAGACTTAGCATGCTGCGTGATCGACACAGACGACTCGTCAAACATATATGGCTCAGCGTCGAATTTACCCCATGGGATATTTATGGGATGCGGAACGACGAGTCTTTTTGCATTGGTGTTGCTATAACACGGCTATTCGAAGCCTTGAAGTACTGGCCGGCACAGAACGACTTGACGCTAGAGATCAATGTATATGAGCCTAAGTATTCCTCGGAGGAGTGGTTCAGCGGGCATCACATTGGGGCTCCAGAAGAACAAGACGGAGATATGTCTCGTTTGTCCAATTCTCAACTCCAGGGGTCTTCAAGGCCTCTAAATAGCTCACTGCAGGGTTTATTTGCGTCCTTGGCCTTCAAAGAGTGGCATTTCCCCTTTGTCGAAGCTGTAACAACGTTTCTTCTTCCTCGACAGTGCCGACGTCAACTTGAACCAGACACTCTTGCCCGCATACTCGAGCGACTTCCACGGCTAGAAGAGATTTGCCTTGAGACTTGGGATGTCTCAGAGTTTTATAAGCCCGATTACGTGCCTGACAGCTTTGGACGACACCTGTTCTTACAACCTGATCACTTCAAGAAGGTCAAGTCGATGACAGTTTTCCAAGATCGCAGTGAGCACTTTAATGCGGTAGTTCGTCACGAAAGAGCTCAACTCGGGCCCCTTTTCCAGCCCTTCCAGCCCTTATTGCCCTTCCAGCCTTTCCAGCCTTTCCAGCCCTTCCAGCCCTTCCAGCCCTTACTCAGCCCAGATCCAGAGCCGAAGCATCGACCAGTGCTTGCTCGGGAATTCGCTGAAGCAAGTCTTTCGCTTGAAAATCTCTCCCTTTCCTTCATCGTTGACGCCGTCGACTTCTTCGGCCACTGTCAAGAAGACTGGCTCTGGGCCGCCTTGCGTTCCCTTACGCTGACGTCCCGAGTTCTCACCTGTGACGGTGACTCTTTTGAGATCGACGGGCTGTTACAAACTGCTGCGCAAATGTTCAAGCGCATGCCAAAGTTGGAGAGGCTCACAATATGGAACGGGGGGGCCAATGAAGCATGCGCCTTCACATATCACAAGCAGCAACACAATGCTTCGGTGACGTGGCAGGCAAAGGGGTACAAAACTGAATCCCGCAGTGTACAGTGCTTGGGAAAACTTGCATCCTGGATGCTTTCTCGGAGTCGAGGAAAAGGATACTTGGTATTTGATTACTTCTCACGGCGCTGCTATCATGTGCCTGGGGTTAGAGCATGTGGTAAGCGAAGTGTCGTTGAGACAGATACAACTGGAGAATAGTATCCCTTGGAGTGGAATGGATGGATAGGTTGACGAGTTTCATTTAAACATAGAAGCATTTACAAATATCTCAGCTTATAGTATGTCAACATGTAAGGAGGAATGTCACCCTTGTCGTCTCTAAGTAACGTTACTCGTATGTAAGACGCAAGCTTAATTTCCCACGGGAAAATTATCGAGGTGAGTGTTCCATCGATTCGGTCGCTAATAATGTAATTCTGGATTCTTTCGTAGTTGCACTCTGGTTAATGTAGTAGTACCACTCATCACTGCATCTCGGGTCGATGGCGACCGAAAGTAAGGTAAGGTCCAGGCAACCCAGTAATACAGCCATTGAAACTTCAAACAGAAGAAATATGGCCATAACTCGAGAACTGCTTATATAGACCGGCTAAATGGTGACAATGGCGGTTCGCTTCGGGTATATAAGTCAATTGACAGACAGTAACGATTTGCATTGACTTCATCATCTCCTACTCTAATCGTAGTTCTTGAGTGAGTCGCCCTCCATTTGGGCGTAGTATCTACTAACGGTGGATAGAATGGGGGGTGGCATATACTGCTACAGCGCCGATATGGCAGACTGAGACAGCACAAGCCAAATGGCGAGGTGAACTGGTCATTCTTATGAGATGGCAATGAACATCGCTGGTTCTCCGCTGTGACAAAGACACATCCGATATCAAGACTCTTTGGCGTTTATTGCTCGGTTCAAACACTCAAATTATGCAACAGCTTGGTGATATTAACATCGTGAGTTACTACATGCCTACCGTTGTCATCAACAGTGTCGGTCTTGCGGGGAGTAGCTCGTTTTCTCTCCGCTTGCAACGTATCATGCCTGATCTTCTCGTCAATGGCGATTCTTCTTGTTAAGAGGTGGGGACGGAGAGGACTCATATTACTCTCCTCATCTGGTCCGCTGTCGTGCTACTTAGTCATTACTATTCTTCTGAGGTATGCTATTGGTATGGAGAAACCACTGAGATTGACTTCTTCGGTATTCTTCTCGTACTTCATTTCCTTTGGAGTCGGGATGTTGGGTGTGCCATGCTTGTAATTCACTGAAGTCGGTTCTCTTGCCATGAGGACGAAGAGAGCAGTGCTTGCTAGGGACTAATTGGGATGTGCCAGCATTTTCGTTTGCGTCTGGTACTGACAGATAACAGGATCACAAACTTCATGACCGTGGAAATTACACCTATTGGCATTCAGAACCTCCGCTGGCGCTTTTGGATTGTATGGACCGTCACAAATATTTTATTTCTACCGGCCATATACTTCTTATACCCGCAAACATGTAGGTCCAGCCCCATGGGTGACCTTGTCAGGGCTAACTGCTCACGAACACATGGGTGCCTACTTCCGAGAGAATCCCTCTGTCATTGTAGTCCGAGATAAGGATGCAATTGTTGCTAAGAGACCTGATAAGTATATTCAACAGGAGAAGGAGGACGTCCGAAGGGAAGAGGCTTAGGATGGAAGTCGGCTCTGAGGCTGTTATTGGAGGTTACTTTAGTGATAGAGCTACCATAAGATCACGGAGCTGCGAAAGGTCTAGAAACGTTAAAGATATCTCAATGGTTGAGGGCGGCTATTCAAAAGCAACTCTTGAGCTTCTTTGTATGTGAATAGGCATGAGACAAGGTGGACTACTGGTACACCTCCTCGATCCATGCTCATCCACAGCCAGTTCTTAATGGTGAATCCCTCTCCAGACAATTCGTCGTCAGGCAGACTCCTCGTCATCAGCATCCTCATCTTCCCTCTGCAGATCCTCACCAACGGCGATCTCAGGCTCTTCATTACTCCCATCATCTTCTTCCTCCTCAACATCCCATTCCATTGCCTTCTCCCCGTACATATCCCGGTAATTCTGTGCCGTGATGGGCAGCACCGCATCCCCATTGTCAAACCTCCTCAACTTCAACTTCGCCGCCTTCAACCACCATCTCTCCAAGAACTCGTCCTCCAACTCCACAAAATGCGGGTTTCTCTTCACCATACGAAGCTTTCCGTGCTTCTTCCCATCCGGGTCATTTCTTATTTGCGGCGTATGCAGCAAGTCGTCAAAAATAGGGCAGTCAAACCAGGGCGAACTAAGAAGCACATCGCGCCAAAGGCCATCTTCATGGGCTTGCTGTGTTTCCTCGAGATGTGGGGAGTGCATGATCTCGCGCTACCAGGCCAGCATACCGTGCATGTCGTGGAATTCCCAGAGTTGTGCGTTAGGAGCATGGATGTTTTTGTAGCGGCGGTTTGAACGGTCAAGAGCAGTCCAGAAGAAGAATTGGATGTGTTCGGCCTTGTATTCCCGGATGTTGGTGCTACTGCTGAGGGTCTTGAAGAGGCGCACTCTGCTGGTGGCCACGAGAAGCCAGTCTTCGTCTAGATTTGATGTTGATGGGATGATGGGGCTCTTATTGTTAGGGTAGGGGTAGAGATCTAAAATCGGGGTATGGCTTTTATGCCACATCGATTCGATGTTGCCTGGAGGGTCTGGCCTGTAACCTTCAGGAATATCATCCTCCATCGTGAAGTCTCTGTTTAAGAAGTTACTGGGATCTTGGTATCCGAGGATGCTTACAAGACATCTTTATAGTCGCAATCTCTGCAAGTCTACTCTGTGAAGCAAACGCCTTCATTGGCAAACTCTGTGAAGCAGCATTGATGGTCGGCAAAGGCAAATTAATTATCGTAAATAAAACAGTCAAACTCGAACGGAACTCAATCGAAGCGAGCGTTGTCATTGATCAAACACGAGCCCATAACGGAGAGTGATTCCATCGCCTAAGGATAAAGCTGTCACTGTAAGCCAGCTGGTCAAGGCGCAGGTGTGAAAGGATGACAATAAATAAACATGACTCCTCGAGAGGCAAACATTTTTACATCCATTGTTTCTATGAATCACCCAAGCACGAAGACACAAAGACAAAGCAAGCAAACTCAATTGCTTCAAGGCAATGGGAATACCTTCACTTGCTAATCCCTACAAATCTACTGGCCAATCCGCTTAGTAACCCATTTTGGCGGCCCAGCTCCCAAAGCTCCCCGGTCACCTTACGTAATCGGTCAAGACTGTCAATCGGAATTGACTGGCAGCTCAATTCAATCAATCACCTCACAAACCGAAGACCGCCCAACGCGACAGCAAACGACGAGCCCGCCCGCACGAGGGACGATACGACAGTAGCGACATTCGAGACCAGCGAGCGACATTCATATTTGCCCAGCATGCCTCAGGATATGCCCCCTCGGGGCGGGTATGAGCCCGTCCAGTACAAGGTGCGTTGGAGGTTTTCGGGAGTGCAGTTGGGGGGATGTGTTGTTTGAGAGTGTTTCGAAATCAATTGGTCTGAGGAGAGTTTGTTAAATGGGTTGAGGGGGGGTCACGATCGTTTTGGAGGGCTGGGAAGACATGGAGCAGTTGCAGGCAGTTCACATGGACGTTTATCTGACTTTCTACAGCGAAACCTCCCCGCGAAGGGTTTCCGTCCTGGTATCCTCCTCCTCGGAATGGGCGCTGTAATGGGCTACGGCTGGTATAAGCTGATCGGCGGTATGCGGGAGGCCAAGTACGTTATCTCTCCTCTAGCCGAACATGCATCTACAACAAACAATCCGGCAATCTACAAACATCGCACGACCACGATTTCTCACACAGAAAACAACGATATCGAATTCAATACTAACAATTAACAGCGAACTCGGTCGTGAAAAGATGTGGGCTCGCATCAACCTCATTCCCCTCCTCCAAGCCGAAGAGGACCGCGATCAGGTCCGTCGATACCTGGCCGACCAGAAGCGTGAGAAGGAGTTGCTTGGTGACAATGCCAAGGTTTACAACAGCGACCGGTTAGTTCTCTGGCCAAGAGGTACCGTTGATGGGGAATATGCTAACACGGGCCAGATTCGTGAGGCCGACTTTCGCTGTTACGCCCCCTCCTACTACAAACTAAACGGTGGAAAGACACACAAGCTTGTATATATGTTTTAACAAAGTGTTTTTACCTGGAATTGAAAGGTCACCAAGAAGACACTGGCTCCCTCTACTGCGACTACTTGACACTCTCGATCTTCTCTTCTGTCCACTCCCACAGCTTCTTTCCCAAGTCCTCACTAAAACACATGTCATCTCCCTTATTCGCCTTCCCAACGGGTTCATAAAAGGCCACTGCCTCATCTCTCTTGACATCACCGGCCGCAGCCCAAGCGGTGTTGTATCCACCCTGCTCAACCGTCATCATCGATGGGTTGGTAACATACACAAACATTCTCTTCCAGAATCCCAAGCCTGTGACCAGATTCGTAGCAATGACACCAGGATGAACAACAACGCTCTTGATAGCAGGGTATTGTCGCTCCAGTTCCTTGGCCAGGACGACGTTGGCGAGTTTGCTCTGTCCGTAGCGACTCCACGTTCCAAAGGGTAAGTGTTCTTGGAGTGAATGAAGGGTCTCAAACTCAATGCCCTTCTTTGGATGGCCTGCGTATCCGAGTGAAGTAACACTAACAAAGCGAACCTCGTGACCGTTCTCCGCAGTCTTTTGCATAATTGGTAAAAGAGCCATCAAAAGCGTCGCATTGCCAACGTGGTTCACACCAAACTGCAACTCAAGTCCATCCTGAGTAAGCCCATCAACAGCCATGACTCCCGCATTTGCGATGAAGATATCCAATCGATCATGTGTGAACTTCTTCGCTACGGAGCGCATGCTTGCGATGGACGTGAGATCACATTCGAGGAACGTTGCAGGAACAGGAGAGAGGGAGGATATGAGAGACGATGCGGAGACCGAGGAGCGGCCGGTGAAGTAGATGTGAGATGGATTGTGAGAGGCAAGAGTGAGGATGGCGGAGCGGCCTAGGCCGGAAGTTCCTGATGACTTGTTAGTAGAGAGATTGAGAAGAAGGGTGAGGAGACGAACCGCCGGTGACGAGGATGACTTTCCCGGCGAGAGAGGGAATGTTGGTCTCTGGATTGAAGCCTTTGAAGGATACCATGATTGTGACGGATCGTGATTTCAGGATAAGAACAAAAAGATTTGTTCTATATAAAGGAGTTGTGTTGATTCAAGTGATTGTACGAATGTAACAAGAGTTGCTGCCATCCTAAACCAAGGGACAACTCGTCCTTCTTATACAAAGTTCCCTGTCTCATCATTATTCCTCCGAGTAATTCTAATTACAAAGCGACACACTAAACGTCATGACTTTGTCGTTCGGTAGGTGTCTTTCTAGGTGAAGCGGCACGATAGATCCCCGATGTAAGACGGGTTAATGTAGTAGCTATCACTAACCCGTCCAGGCTCAGATTAGACCTAGCGCTGTTAGTACGGGATAATCAACCATCCCTGTCCCTCCACCAAAAATCGGCGACAAGATCTCTCTGGTGGATCGCAATCAATTTCAGTCTCAAGCCTCATCCGATCAAAGGGACAAAGCGAATATGTCACACAATGGCTCACACGTGTCACAAGACCGCTCATCAAATTAGATTAGACACAGCAACGTGCCTGTAAGACTTGATTGCCCTTGCCTCGGGGTACTACATAGCATAATTACTAGTACAAATCTCAAACCAGCCAACTCCCCTCCATCATGTACACGCTTCTATCTCCATTTTACTGATGTAAATGTAGGGTAAAATTTATCCTATTCCATATCGCGCCTGACTCCATTCCCGAGGTTTCAAGTCTTCATTTCGCTAGTAATGTTTCTCATATATCAGTCCGCCATCAACTCTGCTAGCAACTCTCTCTCCAGCTCATCCTCGTCAAAATCCGCGCCATCGTCCACATTCACCAGAGGCTCTTTGTCCCGATCCACCACGTCTTCATCGCCTGTTGGAACTGGTGTAGGTAGACTCCCATCTTCTGTATCTTGGTCGTCGCCATTGGGTGTTTGTATTGATCGGAGACCAGAGGCGCCCCTATTCCGAGCCAGACGTTGCTTCTTGGCTAGGACACTTTCGCCTAGATTTGAGCCGTCGTCGTCCGACTCATCAGCATCAGCCTTACGTTTAATGCCCTTCGAGTTCTGACCGTCCACGGATTCGACGTCTGATTCTGTGACTGTGGGGGCAATGCTCACGTCGCCGTCGTCGCCAACATCATCATCCAGAAACTCGGCCAGTTCATCTTCAGCTTCTCCCCAGTCAAAGTCCCTAAGCTCTTGTCCCGTCTGCGCATCTTCAGCTTCGTCGGCTTCTGATGTAACTTCAGTAGTATCATCCCCTCCCTTCTCCCTGTCAGCGTCAAGAATCTCTAAAAAATAAGGTCGCTCGTCAAGTCGTCTCCATTGACTTAGGCAGTCAGTGAGCCAGTTTTGGTTGACTATCTTAATGCTGGGGATTTTTGCTGCCTGCTGCACCTTCTTGGTACGAGGGCGTGATGAGGCAACAACAAGATGTGTGACTCGTTTGGATACTGTATCCAGGACCTGAGCACCATAACTTTGAGCCTGCATGCCGATCTCTGACTCCTCCACTCTCACGCCCAGAGGCACAAGCCCTGATAGCACAATCACAAGACCAGACAAGACATTGGACTTGAGTTCGTCGAGAATGTCGCCGACATCCGGGACCATAGATAAGTCGACGCCATCGTCAACCGACGCCCTTCGCTTGGATTTGCTATGCGCAGGTGGGTGTGTACCCTCTTTCTCTCTTCTTTCCGCTCGTCGCCGGTCGTATGTCTCGTAGAATGCCGTGTGTAAATCTGTAAGATGGTCTTGGAGCGCGATAAGCTCCTCGTCGTCGTCAACAAGAACATTTCGGTGGTGGACAGGTGGCGATTCGCTAGCATTCTCGCAATCATTGATGTCTTGTTGGTCGTCTTCCTTGTCTAGCTCTTCCTGCATATGGAGCAATGGCCTGTCCTTGATTTGCTTCTCGAGTGTCTTTTCCTGCTCTTCTTCCTGGACCTTGAGATTGGCAGCATCGTCTCCGCCGCTCATTCGAGCAATCTCATCCATTGGTGAAGCTTTCGGAGCTATTTTCACGCCCTTTTCCACCGGCTTCGACTTGAGTATAGGTAGAATATCCGTTCGCTTAGGGAGAAAACTCGAGTTGATGTCGCCAATACCCTTGAAGAAATCGTAGGGCACCACCTTGATAAGGTTCGGTCGGTTCATAGGCCACACGTCGGCTCGGTCGTCAATGATAACTACCATGTCTGTACTGACAGGGAACAGACGTTGTAAGCTCTTGGAAGTGATGCTACCATTCTCATCACGACTGATAACTCGGTTTCCAAAGAGCTTCTGTTCGGGGTCAACGATCTTGGCGATGTTGAGGGCATAGGCGCGGGTACCCATGGTGTAAACATGTAGCTCGTACATCTTGGAAACCTCGTCCAAGAATTCCATCAATCCAGGTCGAAGCTTGATATAGTACGTGCAGCCACTGGTCAATCCGCGCGGACCGTCATCATTGAGCTGGAAGTCCCTAACATCCTTCACAGCTTCGTAATTAGGATTCGTTGGGTCGTTCTTCCACTCTCCGATCGTGGGTTCGATACAAGCATGAATAATAGTTTGATCAAGATCGACGACGAGACTCAGTTTCCGTTGTCTGAGTAGGCGCTTCTGGTTCTCGTGCTCGGCCTTTGTAGCGACGCTTTCGCTGACTCTCAAGACAGTCTGGTCATGGCTCATGTTGATCATGGCGCGATCTGTGTCGAGGTTATCACTCGCCCAGTTGATCTCGGTCATGTCAGCGCCGCACAAACTGCAAAGACCTTGCACCTGAACTTCGTGGCCGCACGCTTCTTCTACCATCAGACAGGGCGAGTCAGCCGCGATCTCCTGGCCTTCGCGGATGCGCCATTGTTTAAGTTTGCCTTCGGCGGGGCTGTCGAACTCGGTGTATGTGGTCTCGTCGTTCCAAGTCTCTTCGTTGACCTTGCGCTTCCAATGGAACTTGTACTCGAAGATGCTTTCTTGTTTCTTGATCGTATCGCCGGGTTTCTTGAGTAGTTTTGTAACAATGATGGGGTAATGTAGGCGCGAGCCTAGGGGGACGACCTTGTCGTGCATTGTGTGTATCGTTGGTCGGTAAAATGTGTGTAAGGGTTCTTGCGATGATATTGGTAGCCTCTGATCACGAAGATTAGCTCGCATTCATCGGAACTTGCCATGCATAGCTTGGTAAAAGACTGAGTGTGGATCAAGTCGCTCGTGATTTCTAGAGAGGAAACTTACCTAGCGAGCTCCCCTTTCTTTAATCCTTCGCGGCGTAGGCACACCAGTCAAGCCCATGGCCTCACCAGCAGATCGTCGCGAAAGTGAATCAGCGCGCCGCAGTCGCACGTGCAAATCGCAGTCGCAATCGCGTTAGTTCTTCTCAATGGACAATCCTTCGCAGGCTTAAACAGCGTAAGTAATGGTACTGGAAGAATTAAGTCGTGCTGATAACTTGAATCCCTTGGCTGGTGTTTTTTTGTCCTTGATGCTACGAAAGAATGCTCGTACAAGGTGACGCACTAGGTTGGCACAACTTGTAGCGCAGACCAGCTTCTTCCTTGTACTGCTTTCAATGAGCGCGATCACGTGGCTGGTTGATGAGCAGCTTGGGGGTGAGTGTCCGGGTGCTAAGAAACTCGGAGGCGCTGGAACGTTATCGCGGCGCCTACCGTAATGTAAATTGGTGGCGCAGTTGATTCTCCGCGATCGCGATCGTAGGAGTTGGCGTTGGTCCAAGCTCTGGGGTAACAAATGCGACGTGATGTTGGACAAGACAAGACAGCAGAAGCGGTTTTATTTCACTTATCTTTATCTTATCAATAAGAATAAGAAACAGAAACAAAAGGGCAGCTCAAGTCTAAGGTCGGAATAGAAATGTGGAGTAACACGAGAAGCGGGGAGCGATAAGATGCGTAAAGTTACTGACACAAGTTAGTTATATGTTGACAATGTTCATATCCATCAGCAGGGTCATACATAGAGAGAGCTTACCACGAATGAACCAATCAGGTTAGGAATAGATCACCAAGTTTCGTCCTATGATGGGCTTGATACAGTACAACTGCCGCTCAGAGAAACAAAGGTGGGAAGACCCGCCCTTTTTGTACCTGGAGCTGGAGGGTGCTGACCCCCCGTCACATCATTCAATCATCGACGCAGCAAGCTCAAGTTATACTTTACAGCTCGAATCCCCAAGAAAAAAAGGGTAAAACACAAAGAACTCAATTAAGCTGCCGCATCCACTTGAGTCTAGGCAATGACAATATCTCTTTGTCAAGGTCCTCATCTGTTTTGATCCTTTGTTACTTGATCACGGATGCCATGACCGAGGCTATCACTTGGACAGCTTGTGTGGGGCTTGACCTCAGCTTAGGTTGTCTCGCGACGCAGAAGTGGTCTCAGTTGGTGGCGTGTCGGTAACTACCCTAGATCAATCCGGGATGCGAAAATTCATCACCAGTTGAGCTCAGAATGGAACAATTGAGTCACATGCGCATCGTTTACGTATACCAGGTCAACTTTGTCGGCGTGTTTATACCTGAAGTATTACAAACTACCAGGGATGTTGCCTTTGAGCGTTGTCAAGCCTGTGACAAACATCGTGAAACACAACAAGCATCATACAGCACAACGTAAAACAGGTACCACTTCAGCTATGAAGTCTTCTTTCAACAAGCACCAATGCAATAAATGTGGAGGCAACACAAACTTCAATACGGAGTACCAAAATTCTTCAATAACACTGGTATCTATCGCGGAATCTCAAATCAAAGCATCTCCACCCAACCTGGCCATCTATATGTTCATCATTACATCCCATTTCGTATCACTCATAGCATCATTTTAGCCAATCCCAAAATGCGACTCCGACACCCTTAAGCAGAGGATTGAACGACTCTGTAGCCTTCAGACACCAGCTTTGTAATCTCTTCATTCTTATGTTGCAAAATGCCCAACGCATATGCAACATCGTTCCATTGTCGCTCTGTCTCACAACGGTTGAGTCGTGCGGCAAGCTTCTCGGCCAGCTGTTTAGCGTG